AACGGGGAGCGTTTTCCCCCGCCTCCCCCTTCTCCCCATCTTCTAACGTGCAGGTCTTTTTAAGTGCGTTGGTATGGCCTGATGGTATAACACCTTTTTGCACAGGCAGTCTTGTATGCGTGAAGAGTATGCACATTATCCTGCAAGGAAATTTTTTTTTTTTTTTTTAAATCAACAGAAAATGCTCTAGCATTGGTTCCCCCCCCCCCCCATGTGTTATGCTCCTGTGAATTTTTATTTGAATAATATTAATTTAGGAGCAGAGCTAATGGAACTAATGATCTATGATGGTGGGTTTGTTTTCTTCCCCACTTGAAGAAGTTAAACGTTTTGTACTCGATACCTCAAAGTTGGAAAGAAAGAAGATTCAATAACAACTTCTTAATATTATGGGTCTTGCTGTTTATGTTTTGGTACTCAAGAACACCTAGGTGATAATAAAGGAAAAGAATTCATACCTACACCTGTGTTTCTTACATTCTCTAACCTTTTACGCTTACTTTTAGTAAGACAAAAAAATATTGCTGACATTCTTAAGCGAATGTTTATGTCTATAGTATTTCTTTGTAATTCTAGGTAGTAATTTAATTTCTCTTCATCTCTGGAATGTCCCAGCATCATTGCTGAGCTTATACTTCACCTTAAATATTTTTAACTGAAGTGGACTTTAATTTATGTATGTATGTCCATAGAACTATGTTATGCTTTTAAAATATTTTTTTTTTAAAAAAGACAACCATCTCTTCGCTTTGTTTGAGTGTCTGTAGTATTTAGGATCTCTAATTTGAAGTTGTAGGAGGCCTATTTTTAAAACATTGACAGAATTGCACTGCAAGTATGAAACTTAATTGAAATCCCAGCTTCGTCTATTTCATCTGTTGTGGAAAAGGAACAGAAGTGTCTGTTCTTGGCTTATTGTTAGCGTATAGTAACATCTAGCCCTCTGAGGAAAACACGAGGCCAGAAGTTCTCAATCTTTCAAAGTTTTGGTCTATCCAGAAAAGACATGTCTGTTTTCTCTAACGTTAGGTGTGTTTCATGTTGCTTAACATCATAAAAGCAATTGTGGTAGGTCAGATGAAAGCCCCGCATACTGTGTCTGAAAGCCATCAGCTGCAGGATGAGCTAAGAAAGATTTCGCAGGGTAAGAATGTACTGATACTTTCTCAGAGCGTTTTTAATGATTTTCAGCCCAGGACCTCATTAGCCATGGTTGTTGTCTTTGTGTCTGACAGCCCTTGGTGTTTTTTTTTTTTTTTCCCCTTTTAATTTGTTATGTTGTTATTTGGAGTCCACATCAGCTTTTGATATCTACAGCATCCTGCAGTGAGCTGTTCCACAGATTAACTGAGGCTGCTGGCGGGTGGGGGGGCGAAGGAGAGAAGAGGAGAGGAGGACTTCCTTTTTTTGTGTTGAACCAGCTACCTGCTAGTTTCAGCTGATACTTCTTGGTTCTTGTACTTGAACAGGTAGGAGATTCCTGCACCTTTCTGTGCCAGTCATGGATCTTATAGGTTATACCTTCTCTATTGTCGTCTTTTCCTTACCTTGAATACTACAGCATATCTCAAAATCGTGAGCTGTTTGACCATAGGTAGCCTGTATGTTGCAATTTAAACCATTGGGTTAGCCAGTTAATACCAGAAATGGTTCTGTTAACATTTGGGGGTTTTACAGAGATTGTTAAATTTACTGCATAACTGAGAAAATCACTTTTTTCTTTTTTTTTTTTTCTTTTTAAGAACATGAAAGTGACGATGATTCCTATGAAGTGTTGGATTTAACAGAGTATGCACGGCGTCACCATTGGTGGAATCGTGTGTTTGGCCGGAATTCAGGACCAATTGTAGAAAAATATTCCGTAGCTACCCAGATTGTGATGGGCGGCGTGACTGGCTGGTGAGCGAGCATCACTTTTCATAACTGTGCTAGACATTTTACTGTGTTAGAAGACCCCTTTCCAAGGCTATTTGAAGCAGATGCATTTATCTTCTCTTCTGTTATCATTGATTAAGACTATTCATGTGTGAACAATTTCTTAACTCATTACTCTGACTCATCATTCTGAAGTGTTTTGTAGTATTGGTAAAACACCAGTTATCTAAAGGAACGCATACCAGTAACTGTGAAAAGGAGTTGGGGAAGTGTCAGAACTCGAAAAGTACAAGGAATAAATGGAAAATTACTGTATTTTGTACTTTTGTATGGGAAAGCATATTTCCTTACTAGTATAGATTGAGAAACCCAGTTATGATATTATGGCTAAGACATTTTAAAGGTAAAAGAAATAAAGAAAAAAAAAATGTGTGGCAGAATATACTTCTAATTAAGAGCCCCGTTTTATAGAGAATCTTCTCCCTGTAAATTCAGCTGGACCCATTTTGAAGAAATTAACAATCTGCTTTCATGCTAACTGAAGAGAGATACCACAGCATGGTCATGCTAAAATAACTCATAGTGAAAGCTAGACAGTAAAGATGAGAACTTAAACTGGAAAATGCGGCCACAGTCTTAGCAGCTATGTCAAGGTATTTGTTATTGCTCAAAGGCATTTAAATGGTACTTGTCTATTCCAGTATTCTAAAAAAATTAAGTTCAGTGGAAAACAACATTATGATAGCACAGTAGTTTTAAAACAGAATTATACAAGATTTGGAAGATGAAGTAGACTAAAAACAAAATTGCTGTGTCCAGGCTCAGTACAGCTTTGAGGAGCGTAGGCTTAGCTTTCAGTCTGTTTTTTTTTTTTTTTTTATTTTATTTGCCTCTATAGTCTTAAAATTGTTTTTAGGGAATAGTTCATCTGGCATTCATAAAAACTGGCTTATTGAAAGATCTGGAAACTGCATATTTCAGTATCTGTAGATGTATGTGCCTCTGTGTGTGTATTCATGTATATAAATATGAATTCACTATTCATATGCAGGGGGGAAAAAAATTCCCCTCTGTTTGTGGGCTGGCAGGGGGCGGGTCAGACACCAGCAGAGTGCCCCAGAGAAGTTACGGAACCATCAGCCTTGGAAACATTCAACGCTGGTCTGAGCTAGGACCCTGAGCAACCTGATCTAGCCTAGAGATTGGATCAGACTTAGCAGCTGGCCCACTTTTGGGAAGGCAGCTTGACTGGATGACCTCCACAGATCCTTTCCTGCCTGAACTATTCTATGATATTGATATCTGTGCTGTTCTCTGTTTGACGTGGGAGTGTTTGGAGACTGTGAACAAGATAATTAATTTTCTGGTTGCCTTGATCCATTAAAAATAGACTAAGGCCATGTCTCAGTGGAATGGCCCCACCAATTTTAACTCTTGTGGTAGGGATTTAACTTCTTTTTACCTGAGATATTTAAGTTATGGGTTGTGTAGTTAATATAAATGATGGTATGATACATTTACCTTCCATTTGGGAACAGTTATAATAGCTTGTGCTTTATTACCGTGCTACATTTAATAGCAGCATACAGCTTTTGTGTATACACAAGGTCTGGAGATCTCAAGCTTGCTTTAAAGGGGCCATCAGACAGCCATGAACTAGCAACTGTTACTCGTGTTGTCTTGTGTTAGACATTATTAATTATATATTGTTTATATTAAATATTCTGATTTTTAAATTTAAAAAAGTGAAATGATACATTTGCTTTGTTAAATGAAAAAATAGTTATAGTTGTAGTTGGGGAATTTCTGAGCGTGGCATTGTTCAGCAGACAACTTCATTGGACTGGGTTTTTCTTTTGTTTTGTTCTCCTAAGGTGTGCGGGATTTTTGTTCCAGAAAGTCGGAAAGCTTGCAGCAACTGCAGTAGGTGGTGGCTTTCTTCTGCTTCAAGTATGTAGCATTTCATGCTTTATAAGTTGGCAAATGTTATTTATTAAACAATAGGAAAAACACAGCTGTTGGGTAAAAATTAATTAGGAAGGCTTCTTATCTACTTCATCTTTTTAGTCTTATCAGTCCAAAACTTACTTTTCAGCTGGAATATTGTGTATAAACGAGACATTTCTAAAAATTGGTGGTAAATCAGAATCTACTGTATCCCGTAATATAGTTTGTAGTAAGCCAAAAGAAACCTCCGTGCAGAAACTGGGATGCTGTATGTGATTCAGTACTGCCAGATTGGAGGAACTGCCTGTAGAGCTATGGTTAGGGAGATCAAGGAATTTAAGCTGCATTTTCTTAAACAGGTTTGAGAATTTTATCAGTGCTTTAGAAGAAGTAGGCTTCTTTGGCAGTTGCTTGCTCTGGTCCCATTATGAAGCCACGTTTTTCTCTTTTCTTCCAATGCTGTATTTACTAGTTATATCTGTTAAACCTCTGAAGCGTTGCTGATTTCTGATAGCTTCATTGCATTCCTCTTCAATTGGATTTCAAGCTCAAAATTTTTTAATGATGTTATCAGGCATGCCCATTTTACATTTTTCATCAGATATTGTTGTTGAGGGAGGGCGTATTTCCAAAAAGCCTTGACATTAGATGACAGAACTTTAAGTGAAGAAGAATTTCACATATCCTTCTGTAAGATGCCAAGTAATTCTTAATTTTTTTGCTGGCATTTTTCATGTCGTAATACCTGTGAGCTTGTCATTTTTCCTCAAATCATTCTAGAGGAAATAGACTGGTGCCTGCTTAGGTTCAATAACAATTTTTTGAGACAGGATGTTAAAAATAAATTCTTTCCAACATCACCTTGGAGGATTTCTGCAAGACATATCCCACTTTCAGTTATTCCTTTGATTGTAATGGCTGTTGTAGTCAACCGTTCATCAGAAAGGCTTGTGTAGTACCTCTGCTGCTGTGTAATGCATCAAAATGTCACAGTTGTGTGAAGTACTCTTACTTCATTCATGATCATGGTCTCTGCTGTTTTGGGGGTTGGATTTGGGTTTTTTTTTTAAACCCCATGCTAAACATATAACTGAACTGCAGCGCTCTATGTGAGAATGTATGCTCTTGGAAGTATTTGGTTTAAGTTGTTTTCAACAAATATAAAGTGTATTTCATTTTGAATTACTCAAAAGCAAGCATCAACAATAACGTAAAAGGTCAAAGAGAAATAGTTTTGATAGGAAGCTTTGCAGTATTAGCATTCATTTGACTTTACCGTTGTACATTGATGACTTCTTTAAGTCTCCTAGAAATCAGTGGTTATTGGGCTTGTCCCTAAACATAGGGATGGATTTTACAAGGGTGTTGAATCTGAAATGGTTTAGAATCATCCAACTGTAAATTTTTGGCAAAATGTGCTATGCCAGCAAATGAATCAATTTGATGGAGTACTCTGGACTTCATTAGTCCATAATGTGTCTTTCTGGATCATGAGGGAAGCATTAAATCTTTTTATATACACATACATATACACGCAGTGGATCTTGAAGTACTTGTCATCCTTTTCATCTAGTTGACTTAAAGATCTGAATCTCTCTTCCTGTGTGCCTTTGGTCTTAATTCTTTTAATGACAATTTTTATCTAAATGTGACGGAAGAGCCTACAGAGAGGCCTGGCATCCAGGGGTAGCAGGCAGAATGTTGCCTGCAGGTGCCTTCATTAGTACTTCTGATTACAGGAAGCTGAAAAGCCAAAACCTAAGACCTATAGACAAAGGAAAATAGAAATTGCTTAAAACACATAATTTGTGCAGTATTTTTGCTTGTTGAGTTGTGAAGCTTTGGGAGCTTTTCCTGTACATCAAATAGATTTGCTGTGTGTTTGAGTGTCTGATTTCTTAGTTGATCTCGTTTACAGTGTATCTGAAAAGGAATATTATCCAAGAGGAAAAATGAGTTGCATATTTTGATTGAGTTGTCTATATCTTTAATTAAGTAAGACCAGATTCTCTTGGAAGGGAATGAAGTAAATGCCTTGGTCTTTCATTTTAATTCAAAACGTTTTGCATTTTAAAGCTGAGTCATAAATTCTATAGTGTAATTACATTTCTGTAGTCTTTAATTTTTTCATTTAAAGATCACACATCGTGATTTTAATTTCCCTATGAATACATGTTCAGCGCTTCCCCTGAGTGGGCAGAGGAGCGCTTCAGCACATGACTAGAAACTTCCTTTTTATCTGTCAATTTCTCTGAAGTTGCAGATGTCATTTCAACTGCTGATTGCAATATTGACGTTGTAATTACCTGCTAAAAAAGAACTACTACAGAAGGCAAGATTCTTGGCTAAAGCCCATTCAGTGAAACATTTCAGTCCTGAAATTAAAAAAATGCATTATCTCTTCAGCACGTAAAGACTCCAACTCAAGAAATCTAGTAGGAAACTGAAAGCAATTAGTTTTTGGAGTGTCAGTTTGTACAAGCAACAAAAAAGATTTTTCACATCTTTGTAAATGATCTAGTTTTTCAGTCTTAATACAGATTAAGCGAAAAGTAGTCTGAGGAAGAGAATAAAAATGGCATTAAGGAATTTGAGTAGTTTTCAAAATTAAGATCTAGCATCACATCGTTGTGCTGGGTATTTCAACAGCTTCATTTGATCAATTAACTATCTTTTTTTATTGAAATAGATGTAGTTCTTCAAATATGCTGGTATAAGACCAATACCTATGAACTACATTAAGGAAAATATAATTCATTTCTCAAGCAAGTAAGGGATTTTCCTTGTATAACTTCTAGCTTATACAGCACGGTTTAGTGAAATCCTGAAGATTAGGGAAGTATGAACTCATGTGGTTCTGCTATAATTAATTGGTTAAAACCAAATGTTCTTAATGAGCACCCATTCTCTCGGTGTTTTTAAACTCCTGTATCCTTAATAGTGGTTTCATCACTTTTTGCTCTGCAGTCAACATGCAAATTGAAGTTTTTTCCAATGTGTGTTCGCTATTATTTAATCATAAAATTGTATTTTTATTCAGTTACTTGTGCTTTCACTAATATATTTTGCCTCATTACATTAATATGCCATTGATCAGTTCAGTTCTTCATTAAGTTATTTTCTAACTTAAGAAAAGTTTAGAACTAACTTTGAAAACAACACAAGAAGCAAAATAAACTCTAAGATGTCCTTGGCTATATATTGTACAGGGGTTTGTTGATACCATGCCATGATGATGACGTGGCATCCCAGTGAAGTAGGGAGAGAACAATATGCTTCTGGGGGTGGGGACTTAATAAGAAAGAGTTGTATTCAGTTTTGCATTGAATATCCCGCTTCACAGTTGATGTCTGCAGACTTTGAGGGAACATTCAGTGGAACAGCCAAAGCAAATGGTAGTTGGAAGTTAGCCTTTTAAAGAAATACCGTATTTCTGGCAGGTTTTGACATGACATGGAGGGGTATCATTTCTCTGCCTTTGTAAATTGGAGTAGTGTTTCACTGGTTACAGTGGAGCTGTGCCAGCAGATGGTGGCTGAAGATACAGCCTCCGCAGTTTTAACTCTTAAAAAAAAAAAGTTGTATCATTTCTCAGTCCTTACCTGTATATTGAAGTTAGAGACTTAACAGATCTGTTCTGGAAACTGGGCGAGTGTGATGGGGATTGATACCTATCTATATATCAGAAAATACCTAAAAGTATATACGGCTTCTGTATGCTGCACAAGCAGCAGAGCACCGGGAGCTTACATGTACTTTCTGGGCTTGGTTGGGCTTTTTTAGTATGAGAGATTTTGTCTTCAAGGAAATTGAAATTCTTTTATCCCATCTTGCCATGTGATTTTTTTTTGCTCGTAGATGTTTTTGTTCATTACACTTAATAATGTTTCACAATAACAAAGTACTTGCCTGCCTCTCTAGTATCACCCGCAAAATGCTGTCTTCCCTTTAGATCTCTATTTTCTTTGATTAGCATAGAGAAAGAGGCACATATATTTAGTGTTCCTGAATTGATAGATTTTTTCAATTCCCTTTTTGGAAAAAATCCATTATTTTTTCAACAGTTCTGGAAGATCTTGAACAAAAATAAATTTTGCTAATGTGATATATGAGAAAGAGATATGTATATAATATATATTATTACATTGTCATATATTCCTGTATATATAGATATATACACACACACCCCCATATGGCTTTTTTAAGAAGATATAGGTATCTCTATGTATAGACCTATGTGACTATATATAGTATGGAACTGATAATGGAATATTATTATTTTAGTTTCTTGGTTATTGTAGGGGCTGGGTTTAAAAATGCTAATGATCTTTAAGAATTTGTGTTTATGTAAATGTACTGTTGTAAGCAAATGGGGGTTTTTTATGATGTATTAGGGTCTAAAAACTGAAGTCTGTCTCACCAACATTTGAGTTCAGTGGGATTATTTCTGCGCTTACATACAAAGTTATGTAATTAGTAGGACTGCAGACAAAGTAGGTATAACACAGGCTCTGACTATCACTGCAGTGAAGTACAGTTGGTTTTTTTTTTTCTTCAGTTATAAATTTTATATTCAAAACATTGTCCTCTGTTGCTTCTTTCATAGATGCATACAAACACTCAAAAGCAGAACTTAAGATCTCTGCTACGAAGTTCAGGGAGAAAAGTAGTATAATTTTTGTTGTGTAAACTGGAGTTTTGATACAAATGGAAATTGTACCTACTGGAGAGCTAAACAGAACTTAACTAAAAATTTCTGCCTCGTCTTTGTACTGTATGGATAACTGAGCTAATTAAACTAGTCTTGATTAAATGTTTCTTTTGAAGTCCATTTACTTATTTTTATTTTTACAGACAAGTAAATATATTAGCATTTCTTACATTGTGTTGGACTAGGTAGGTCAGTCCATGTTTAGTTTTCAGTTTTGTGAGTTAGAAGGCACCAATTCAATACTTGAGCCTTTCTGAAATTCTTGTGGTAACGTCAAATTCATGAAATAAAAATTGCCCCAGTGCTCAACTTTTTTTTTTTTTTTGTCCTGGTATGTCATCCAGTGACTGGATGTGCAACCATTACAGCTTTAAAACTGGTTTCATGTTTTCATACTGTACAGACAGTCCTTAACTAGTGACCCCTGCCTGACACTACTGCCTATGTGGATAAATGGTTTTACAATAGACAGGAAAGGTCAATGAATTTGGTACATTCTGAGGTATGAAGTAAAGAAGAGTATAATATTTAATAGGTTCATTTTGCATTTGTCCAGTGAATTGTTTTTTTAAACCACGTGCAAAGATGGAAACTGGAGTTGACTTTCTTACAGAGGTGGTCTTTTAGGAGCTCTGTTCTGAATTCGGACAATCTGTCTGACACTTGTTTCATTTTAGGTTTTATTTCAGGATCATGAAATTCTAATCTGGGGTGAAATATGTTGCTTAATTATTATGGCTGTTGTAAAACAAGCTAGATGATCTAATTTTAGTTATTTGGTAGAAAGAACTATGTGAAAGTCAAAATTCCATGCCTGTAAGCTATGTGAAACACTTCTTTTTATGCCAAAACTTTTAAATTGTATGTTTAACTATCTGTTCCACAAAAGTTCATTATCTGTGGCTGTTAGTTACCAAGTATAGTCTTTGCATAGAATGCTGTTATATAGGTTACATTAATTTGCCAAACATGACCGTAAGAAGGACCTGAGACCTCTTCATAAAGAGTGTTTTGTGTAACAGTAATGGACCTGTAAAGTTAGTGGTCTATATCTATTTGTCTTAGCAGTTAAAATAATCCTTAGTTTTGATTTTTTTTCCTCTCATTTTTCCAACTAATGAACTGTTTAACTGTTCTCTGGAGCATGCAGTAATTGCCTCTTTTTTATTTTTTTTTAAGCTATGATCTTAGGAATCTTAGGATCTTAGGAATATGTATTTCTTTTGTGAATCATCTTAAGGAAATTGGTGGGACTGTCAGTGTTGGTCAAGTAACAAACATCTTTTATCCATTATCAAATCTTAGTAAGAGAAGTAAGGCAGATGGTTGGGATGATGGTTAAATGTGCTAAAAATCTCATGGATTTTGTTTAAGCATTTTGGTAGTTTGAGTGTACATTGATATGAACAATCCCCCAAAACTTACCCTTTTTGCTGATGTTACAGAACTTCTGCTGTACGTAGGCCATGCTATTTTTCTACTTACTGGCTTTGTTTTGTAGAAAGTATGAGAATTCTCTTGTATTGAATACTTTTTTTTGTTGTACAATTTAAATGAGGTAGGATAAAATAATAGTTTTCAGTATTTCTAAGGATGATTCTGATTAGCCCCAGATAATCTGTCACAATTCGGAATTCCACATTTCTGAAAGAAGCTGAAATGAAACAATTTTTTCATTGTTGTCCTATCAACATGCTTTTCTCTTTATTGTAACTTTACGTGTAAGAAAAGGAAATGCTGAAGCAAAAACATAGTTATTTAAAGCTTTTATAACTAAAGAACAGAGAACTGGTAAAATTAACAAGAGTCTGCTGAGCTTTATTGTTGCCTGTTCTAATTTGAACTGCTGTTACTGTGGAAAATATTAGTGTTTGAAGCAGAGTAGAGCTGTAATTGTAATAGTGTCTTTCCCTGTATCTGTAATTAAAAAAAACCAACAACAACAAAAAAAACCCCAAACCAAAAACAATTTTGTAGGCACTAATATACTTTATTTTGACTCACGAAATGTTAACTACAACTGTACTAAATACCCTTTATTTTCCTAGATTGCTAGTCATAGTGGATATGTACAAGTTGACTGGAAGAGAGTTGAAAAAGATGTAAACAAAGCAAAAAAACAGTTAAAAAAGCGTGCAAATAAGGCAGCACCTGAAATCAATACTCTAATTGAAGAGGTAAGTCTAAGGTGATAAATTGTTTTCTACCAGCCAGATTTTCTTACCTTCCACTGCAGGTGATTCGTTGAAAATGCAGGTGAAAAACTGGAAGGTATCAGAAATGGTCTGGCTGTATACTTTGTTAAAAGTTATCAGATTGTACTCTCTTATTCTTTTAGCTTTCTATTTTGTTTGCTCTTAAAGATGACACACAAGGGTCAACGTTAATGCATTTCTACAGCTGATATGGCTTAGGGACTGCCATTGGCTTTGCCATTTAGTCTGCAGATTCTTGGCTAGTGAGAAAGCAGTAAGGTCATGACACGGTAAAAAGTTGAGGGTGTTGTGGTTAAAACATGGTAGCTACAAAGACAAAACCCAAATCTTCTTAGACTGCTGATAACACAATTACTTGGTTGGAAACGACTGACCTTTCTTTATGGAGAAAAGCTATAACCACTTTGTAACTAGAGTTGTGGTTTTTATCTCATTTTTATACAGTTTGAAGAATATCTGTCTTCAGAATCTGTCAGATAGTATGTTGAAAAGAGGTGGCCTGTGATACTGATCAGTGTCACTGAGGCTATTTCAGTCGGTCATTTGAAGACTTCATTTAGCCTGGTTTTGCATTCAAATTTCACACAGAGGATCTAAGTTTCTTTCTCAGTAACTGTGAATCCTGACTTGGAATATGTTGCAGACAGTGTAATAATAGCCACACCAACACTCTGTAATTAAGAGTTTTGATGTCTCACATTTAACCTGTATGGAGTTGCACATAGGGGATAAAAGTTACTTTAAATTTTAATGTGAAGTGGAAGTTCAAGAGAGATGGTTTTCTATCTGCTTCTGTACCCCAAATGGCTTAACCTGACCTTCTCCACTGCCCTGCAGAAATGGGTGGGACAGGATGGGGGTTTTGGTGGTTCCTTTTTTTTCCCTCCCAGATTATGTTACTTTCTTCTAATTGTGCACTAGTAGCCAATCTGAAGTGTTTTAAGTGGAGGATTTATGAAATGGCACATGTTTGATCTAACATGTATATACTCTGTGCTATTGCTTAATGAAATATTGTACACAGCTATCATACATGAGTGTTTTTTGTTGCATTAAGTTGTTAGGAAACTGGCTCATAATGGAGTGTACTGTCTGTCTTTTTCAATGATCTAGTATTCAAAAAAACAATTTTTTTTTAAAAAACCCGCTTTTTTCATGTAATTAAAATTGAAGTGATGGTAGTGCTTGTGCTTTTTGCCAGGGGAGTTTGTAAAATACCTGTCTTGTTTCAGTCAAAACAAGAGTGGTATTAGCATGAAATTGCTATGACAATTCCTCTGTATTTTGACTTTTAAAATGCAAACCGTATTTGCAATCTATTGGTAAAGACAGGTGAGAGTCAGTTTTCACTCCATTGGTGCCAGCAGTTGCCACCTAGCTTTATATCTTTTTAACCACGTTCCTTCCCCCCCTCCGTAATTTAGTATTCTCGTTTCCAGGCAATTGTGATAAGTATTAAATGTTACAATCAGACACAACTGATTCAGTTCTTTATGAATGTTATTGTTCTTCTCAGTCAACAGAATTTATCAAACAGAACATCGTGGTGTCCAGTGGATTTGTTGGAGGCTTTTTGTTAGGCCTGGCATCGTAAGGACCTGAACCGTCTCTCCCTGGTGGCATTCATGTCGGCAAAGAACAGTTGTGGTGACACGCGCTCTTAAAGCAGTGTGGATCACTGGGCCTTCCAGAACGGGACGAGTGGACTAGCTAGACGACTTGGAAGCGCTTACATTTCAGGCTTTTGCCTCTTGAAGCTTGGCAAAACTAGGATTTGCTGAAAAAAAACAACTGTGCAGTGTGCTCATTATAGCATTTCTGGGCAAAACTGGTTCATCTTCATCATGACTGTTTTTATCTATGACCTTTCAAGATTTAGCATTTTTAAAAATGTTATTCTTGGAATATAGATATGTAGTCATACTTTAAGAAAGCAAGCTCCATTCCTGTGTTTTCATTTAAATATTGTTTATTTTAAAAGTATTTTTCTTCATGCTGTAGTAAATAGTATCAATGACTACATAATGTATATGATATTGTAGTTTCAGCCTCATGGCTGTCCATGTTCTTTAGAAGTCACTGCAATAATCTATCAATCTGTAATACCTTTTTACAGAGTATTAAATAACAAAGAATCATGAGCTTATTAAAGGTGAAAATTAACTTTGACTCTGGCCTTTGTGTACATAGAAAATAAGAAAGTCTCATGTTTATAGCCCGCAGGCATCTGGTACAAATATTTGCTGAGATACTTGTGATACTTGTGTGCTAAGTAAATATATAAAGTTATTTTTCCCAGATGTGTGGACATGGGTAAACTCATTGATAAAACTAGTATGCAGATAATCAGCACAGACTCCACAGTGATCTGATGCTTAATTGTTTTGCACTCAGTAAACCACGGGGGTTGTTTCAGACTTCAGTAGTTGGTGAGGTGAAGAGATGAGGCTTCTGTCTGAGCACTGCAAAGAATGGTACTTTGTAGGGCTTGATAGAATGTCAGTGCAACGTGCCTGGAATGAGCTGAAGGCTGCTCTTGCAGTCTGTTTTAGCTGGAAATGATACTCGCTTTCATATTTACCTCTATTTCCATGATCTTCTCCCCAGCTTAGACATAATTATTTTTTTTTTACAGTTGTCACTGACTTTCTAGGGTGTTGGCTATGGAAAAATGAGGGTACAGGTTGGTTTCAGTTACCTATTGGGAGAGTGCCTATTCTGAAGTCTGGGAAAGCAAAGGGGACTTAATCTGCTCGATGTGTTTGCCTTTGACAGATCAAAGTGGGAAGCGGATTCTAAAGGAGATTGGAGGCATAACTGTGGATGGGATGGAAAATTTATTCTCCTGTAGGTTTTTAAGGTGGTTTTGGTAATCTGTTATGAGGTTATTCTAAAGAAGTTGAGAATCCAAACAAATGCATAATGTATTTTTCTGCATGTCAGACTTGTGAACCTTTTAGAAATTTCTGCCCAAGAAGTACTGTTCGCTCTGCCCTGATTTCTCTGGTTTTTACTGTAGCAGCAAGTTCATGTGAAATGGAGTCTCTCTCATGCAGGTTCTGTTGGCTTCTTGTTCACATGTCTGAACAGCATTGGCATCAGATGGATGGATGTGAACTTCGGATGTACAGGACATGGGATGAACATCCATCAGCTGGGCTGTACGTGAAAGGCCTTTGACATAGTAACTATGTATTGAGATTAGTGCATCTGTGGACTTGAGATGTGTGTTATATGTTGACTTCATATATGCATGCTTCTGGCCAAGGCGCGTTACAAAGCACGTCATGCATATCTGCAAGCTTTAAGGATTTAGTTAAGCTAAAGCCTGTTTAAGACTTTTGAAAATAAAATCTAACACACGCACACACACACCCCCTCCCCACCCCAAACCAACCCCCTGAAACCAAGTAACATAAATGGCCACAAATACCATGCTCACATCTAAGTATTTTGTTTTAAGGTGAGTATCTAAACACAATTGTTGCAGTTTATTGGAAGTGGGAAGCCCAAGGAGGAATGTGCGTGCTGGGTCATCTGGGATTTACGGAAAAATTAAGAAAAAGGAAAATGTTAAAATGTGGAAGTATCTTTTCCCAAGTGTTCAGTCCAAAGGATAATGGGAAGGTAACCTGTCAGCTCTTTTCTGCTGATGAAGCTAATAGACTTCTGGCATGTCAGAAGAGTTGCTGGAGCCAACTGATGTGAGTCACCCACCCTGACTGGAATTAACTCGGGCATTCTGAAGGTCTTTAGGAATGAAATGACCACCTCAGTAGCAAGAACCTGTAAACTTGTGTTTTTAAAAAGAGTCTACTCTGTGAAAGGGTTTCAAGAGAGCAGTTACGCCAAGGGAGGTTTAGATTGGGTATTAGGAAAAATTTCTTCACCGAAAGGGTTATCAAACATTGGAACAGGCTGCCCAGGGACGTGGTGCAGTCGCCATCCATGAAGGTATTAAAAAGATGTGTAGACGTGGTGCTGAAGAAACATGGTGTAGTGGTGGGTTTGCCCGTGTTAGGTTGATGGTTGGACTCAATGATCTTAAAGGTTCCTTCCAACCTAGACGATTCTATGAGTCTGTCTTTTAGTGTGTTTGCTAAAAAGGCTGCTCATGTGACCAAGGAATATACTTCATAGTTAAAAGCAGATTTAAAAAAAAAAAAACAAAACAAAACGAACCCAAAACCAAACAAAAATCCCAACTTAAACAGTAGTATGCAAGACTGACTTCTGCAGAGGAAAGTTGTTTGCTATTATTCTGTTGTCATTATCTGAGATTCTCGGTAAGGCAATGAATAAAGAACTGATTGAATTAAATATGAGGGGTTTATTATTTTTTTTTTAAGACTTTGGAATAAGAAGTGTAATGTTGTACATGTAAAACTGTCTAAGGGACAAAAAAAAGTACAGAGGAACGGTGAATACCGGTGGCTTGTATTAGGATTGGCCTTGCATAAATGCATTCAGACTTAAGAAGAACAACTGCTGGCACAGCAGTACTTGCTAAATTCTTTGATGCAATTCCTTATGTTGGTGAGGTAGAGAGGATGCCACCAGGAGCTACAGCTACAAGGGACAGGGTGAGGATGGAGTGGCAGACTTTGATAAACATGAAGTACCACAGCAAATAAATGCAGCTTTTCTTGCAAATACCTGAGGTTTTATATGTGTCAGCTCAGAACAGAGTCTTGTGTATCGCTGTACATAAGGGAATGCTCTGTAACGGTACAGTCAGAAAAATGAATGGGAATATTTAGAGTGGAAGGGAGCGCAGCAGAAATACGATGTTTCTCGTGCTAAGTTCTTCTCTACAGTGATTTCAAAGTTACTATTACCTTCTGAGAAAAACTCATGCAGACCAAGAAGATTCAGAGAAGAGTGAAATTGAAGAAAAATTTTTTGAAGAGCTTTTTTTTGGGGGGGTCGGAGCTGGGGGGAAGAACATCAATTTTGGAAAGCAGGTGATTAAGAAGGAAAGTGTTAGAAATATGTAAATTGATGAAAGGCTGAGCCAGCTATTCTATGGTTTTTATTGTATAGCTGAAGAACTTAACTGGAAGGTGGAAAACATGAAGCTAGCGCAGGGAGACAGCTGTTCACATAAGGTGTAACTGGTCTGTGGAACTGATTTGCACTGCGTGCTAATGAAACCAGGGAACGGGCGCCATTCAGGGGAAGATGGGGCAACATCAAGGAGCGTGCAGTTATATCTAAAGATGCAAGAAAAGCAACTTCAGGCTTCTCTGGCCATAGCTAATATCACTTGGTGAAGTTCATGATAAAATCATTCTAGTGATCAGATTATCCTACCTTTGCCTTCTACAGGCTTGCGCATTTTCCCTCAAGCAGTTGTTATCAGTCACTTTTCAAAATTGAATAATAAGCTAAATGATTGATTAAGGCATGCCATATATCCCTCTGTAGTGAACAGCCATTAAAAGTTTACTAAATAACGAGTTTTGGGAGAGATTGCTAATGTATCATCTATTTCTTTTGTATTATCTTAATGGGATAGTCCAGTTTCTGATTTATTTTTTTTTTTAAGTTAAACCAGCATTTGGTGGTAAGTTTTAATGTAAAATGAGATGACTGGTTGTTCAAAACCAATGTGATCTTATTACAGAATTTTAAGAGGCTAGAATTTGACTGAATCTTTGAAGGCTGCTTCTGTTTTAGCAGCCAGACTGAAAATTAAAATATTGTAGTTAAAGATACAGATACCTTCTACGTTCAAGTGCGTTTGTCATGAGGTTTTATGAAGGGGGGGTGCATACACAGTAAAATGCAAAAGTCAATACTATAATTCCAAATTGATGCCTGTGCAGATCTCATAACATACCTAGCATATAGTAATGTGAAGAAGCATCAGTAATACCTCCTCCTAACCTTTTGAAAAATGTTGGAAATCTCAAAGAATTACTTTAAAATCAAATTTGTGTAGCATGCAGCTGCCTGTGTGCAGTCTGTACGCGATAGTGGAAAAAGATGATGTTCACCCAAATTCAGCACAACTAGAACTCGGTGACACTTTGGAAGGGAGGTTGATCATTAAAAAATGTGGGTTTTGGTCACCCTAGGACTGTGCATGGAGCAGGTGGTTGGTGGGGTAGAAGGACTAGAATCACATCTGCTGAGAGTAGGAGGTGTCACCCTCCATTGTCTTTTGTATTATAGTTCAGAAATTGGAGAGGAATGATGAGCTGAAAGAGCAGTTTTTCCCTTGTCTGATTGGGAAGCAGGTCTGACGCAATGTCGTCATGTCCCAGTACTGGGACAAAATGGAAGAGCTGACGTTTGTTATTTTGGGGCAATTTGGGAAGTGGGTGGCGAGTTCTTAACTACTGACACAGCTGACATTCATTCAGGACCTGTAAGACCAGAAGACAACTTTAATTAATATAATCATGGGGTGGGTTAGCACAAAGCATCCAGTGCTGCTTTAGCACAGCCTGAAACCTTGGTTGGGTTTGGCCCCACACTCCAGCTAAGAGGCCATCTAAACTTTGGAGTGCTGAGGAACACGGTGCAGAGATGTAACAGTGGCTTTTGTGCTCCCAGGCTGGACTGGAAACAGCAGTGTGAACCCGAGCCCAAGCGGTGCCATGCTTTTAACTCAGAAACCTCGCTGGACACAAGCCGGCGCAATTTATAGTTTGGGTAAACCAGTACAACGTTAACAGATTGGGCTGGCTCATGCATTCAATATCCAGAGTTCCTTCGCCTCCCTCACCCTCTTCTCTTGCCCCCTGACCTCTGTGCCCCCAGTCCCTCAGTGTGCTCCTGCGTCCCTGCTTTTGTTTTGCCCACAGGTTTAGATTAAACATTGGGAAGAAGTTTTTCACTTTAAGGGTGGTAAGGCACTGGAAGAGGTTGCCCAGAGAGGCTGTTGAGGCCCCATCCCTGGAGGTGTTCAAGGCCAGGCTGGCCGTGGCCTTGGGCAACCTGGTCTAGTGGGAGGTGTCCCTGCCTGTGGCAGGGGGGTTGGAACTAGAGGATCTTCAAGGTCCTTTCCAACCTAAACCATTCTATGATTCTATTTTTTCACAGCTACCCAGAACACAGCACTGTGGCATACGCTACTGCTGATCCGTCAAAAAAGAGGAAATGCAGCACTTGGAAGTGGGGTGAAGTTGGGGAATAAATCCCATAAGCCAGT